ACACAGTCCCGAGTTCTTTAGGCCTCCATTGTCTGAAATTGATTTAGAGTGATAAAATGAAATTTTTGTCATCTTTCGCCACAAAGAGATGGAAAAATCTTTGCATTAGAACTGTCAAAGTGCAGTACTGTTGTTTTTAGTAAAATGATTTTTGAACACTCCTGGTGATCCATCTGTCGCACTAAAGAGTTATGAACACATTGCCAAGAATGTTCTCCATTGACATTCAGTCAGTGGCAAAACGAACGTAAAGTGATAATTTGAGTTGAACATCTTTTTTATTGTGTTTTTAAGGCATTTCATGCTGATAGTACTTGCATTTTTACTACCTGAAAATGTGCACTTAGAAGACTCAAATGGGATTTCCTTAAGACAAGCCAGAATATGACCTTTTTAAAACCTTTTTCTTTTTTAAATATTGTCATAGCAGTCACATTTTATGGAGAATAGCATGACCAATATTTCCAGTTACTTAAAAGTTTTGTAAGGTACAATATACCTTAATAATATATTACTACTATTATCAATGATGTTATAAAGATTATCCTACAACTATGATTTATCCACACTATTTCAAACCATACCAGGAGATTATTGTTGAATTCATCAACTGATCCATGAGGTCAAGTTTCTCCAGTGAATTCATGTTCCCCCAGTTGACCACTATCACCAACCATACTATCACAGTGCCAGAAGTGAGGTGCCACATCCTCATCTTGTTGCTAATGATGCTGTCCTCCAGTCCAGCTTCTCCACACTATTTCCTGTACCAGGTACCGTAGGGGGATCTCTTCACCACTTTTATACCTATCAGTAGATTACAAAATACCACATCAAACTACTGTAATTTTCTTTTGACTTTGCCCAGTTGTTTCTTGGTGTTGTGGACACCATATTGTTGGTTCGCTTTTGTGTTGTGGTGTGGGTATGTTGTGGTTCAATATTTTTTCTTGGTTTAAATTTTATTTTCCTTTGTGTTTGGGTATGGTAATATATGATAATGAGTTTGAAACAAAGGAAAATAAAATTTGAACCAAAGATAAAATTGAACGACAACAGGTAAACTTTAGTGTCTTTTGTATTACATCACTTGGTGATTGCACCTATCCGCAACACCAACAGTAGAGGTCAAAAGTGTTGGGACCTTTCCAGTAATATTTGTTAAACTAGTGACCCCTCCCCCATCCCACCCTAAACAAAGTTGAATTTTGAGCACCATGGGTGGAAATGAGTCCTTCTCTGGCCACAACATTGCTGGGGGAGAGTAGGGCGACGACGGGATGAACCCAAAGCCGATTAAAAAAATTGTTGTTAGGAGCAGAGTGCTATGTAAGGGTTTTTGCACACAGTCCCAAGATCTTTTGGCCTCCATTGTCTGAAATTGATTTAGAGTGATAAAATGAAATTTTTGTCATCTTTCACCACAAAGAGATAGGAAAACCTTTGTATTAGAACTGTCAAAGTGCAGTATTGTTGTTTTTAGAAACATGATTTTTAAACACTTCTGGTGATCCATCTGTCACACTAAAGAGTTATAAATATGTTGCTAAGAATGTTCGGCATTGACACTCACTCAGTGGCAAATTGTTGATGCTTAAGCTCCATATTGGTAAAACTAGCAACCCCTCCCACCATAAACAAAGTTTAATTTTGAGCACCATGGGTGGAAATCAGTCCCTTTTTTGGCCGCAACATTGATGGGGGAGGAGGGGTTGGGGGTGATGGGATGAACTCAAAGCCGATCAAAAAATTGTTGTTAGGTGGAGAGTCTTATGTAACAATTACTTAGAAGGGCTTTTTCAAAGAGTCCCAAGTTTTTTTGTCCTCTCTTGTCTGAAATTGATTTAGAGTGATAAAATGAAATTCTTGTTATCTTTCACAACAAAGAGATGGGAAAACCTTTGCACTAGAATTGTCAAACTATACATGTAGTTCTTTTTAGTAAAATGATCTTTAAATGCTCCTAGTGATCCGTCTGTTGTGCTAAAGAGTTACGGATACACTGCCAAGGATGTTCAGCATTGACATTCAGTCAGTGCCAAAAAGAACTTAAAGCGATAATTTGAACAACGTTTTTTATTGTGATTTTTCAAGGCATTTAAAACTGGAAGTACTTGCGTTTTTACTATCTGAGAATGTGCGCTTAGAAGACACAAATGACATTTCCTTATGACAAGCCAGAATATGACCCTTTTTATACCCTACAAACTGACAAATCCTCGGCCCAGCCAAGATATACTTAAAGAGTATGTCAGTGGTGAACACTGAGACTTTGAAATTTTCAGGCCACTTTCTCACACTTTGGCAATCAAACAGCAAAATAAAATCGCAAGCATAATTCCTTGTCAACTCTGCTTTGCTAAATTTATTCTGTTAACTGCTCAAAACAATTTGCACCAATATTGTCAAATATTACCATGCGTGACAAATTCTCTACTTTGCATTGTTGTGTATTGAACTTTGACCTTTCATATGTCATACACGTGTGTTGTTCAGTATTTAGGCATGTGCACTGCGAGAATAAATTAGAGGATTGAATATGACAGTCTTACGAACACACGCTATTGTCTCTTCAATAAGTCGACATGGTGTCAGAAGTGAGATTAATTTGACTGAGAACCTACACATCTGGTGAAAAGGAAGAACATTTCGTACAAACAGTCAAGAATTAATTCAACGAGCAAAACAGCAAGGAGAACATGTCAGACAACGAAGCCTGAACACGAAGGAAATCCTCCAGGTGTATTGGCGGGCGCTGAAGAACAACCTGTGATAGCAGAACTGAACTTGTCCAGCCAAACATTCGACCAGTAACTAATTTTCAAGTAACCCCACCACAGAAATAATAGTATTTTCATTCAAGCCAGAAGAGTGGCCAAAGTGGATTCAAAGGTTTGAGAGATTTCGCAAGGCTACCGGGCTTGATAAACAAACTGGCGAAAATTAAGTAAACACATTAATTTACACAATGGGTGAACAAGTGGACAATAATTATATTCATCTCATTCAAATTCACCACCAAACAGGAGAAGAATTATGAAGAAGTGAAGGAAAAATTCGAAAATTACTTCATCGTGAAAAGAAATATCATCTTTGAGTGAGCAAAATTCAACTCAAGAAGTCAACGCGTGAGAGAATCGGTGGATAGTTTTATCACAGATTTGTATGGCCTGGCAAGGTACTGCAATTTTGGCGCACTAAAAGAAGAGAACCGTATTGTTGTGGGATTACAAAACCGCAAACTTTTGGAAAAACTTCAACTAGATCCGAATCTCACCCTGGAAAAAGCTACAAATTTAGCGAGACAAGAGAGAGACGGTGAAACGACAACAAAACATTCTTGATGGCAGATTGAAGTCTACCCCTGTGAACGTTGATGGCATCGCAAAAGGAAAATCATGGAGTAACAAAGGAAACTTCAAAGAGAAATCGCAAGGAAGTCTAAAGAGAAACCTTCCAACAGCTACAAAGAGAAAAATGCTGATCAAAAGTGCAAAAGGTGCCTTGGAAATTGCACCCGAAGAAAATGTGTCCTGCACGCTTCTCCAAGTGTAACAAAGGTTCAAAATTGGTCATTGGGTGCAGGCTTGTAAAATTTCAAAACCAAGAAAAGTACTTGAAGTTGCTGAAGAAGAAGAATCTTTCTTTCTAGAAGAAATCGTGGACGTTTGTGAAGTCCAAAGTAACCCACAAAGTCACCATGGATGTTCTCATGGACAAGAAGTCAGTTAACTTCAAGCTTGATAGTGGTGCAGATGTAACTGTCGTCCCATACAATACCTTCTTTAACATTGATCTGAAGATACAGCTTAAGCCTTCTGATAAAGTGCACCTGGGTCCATGCAATTACAGGATGAACTGTAAGGGAGAATTCATAGTCACTCTCACTTACAACCAAACTTCAATAAAGGAACTGCACATGTTATAGAAAGCTTAGCATGACAACTCCCGAGTAGATCTGTTGCAGTGAAATTAAACCTTATAATTATCAAGATTGTGTTAACTAACGACTGATGATTACAAGGCAAAAGTGATGCATGACTACCCACAGTTGTTTGACGGACTGGGTACCATGAAAGATGAGTACACCATTAAGCTAAAAGATGATGCAAAACCCTTTGCACTGACTGTGCCAAGAAAGGTCCCTATGCCACTGTATGAAGAAACCAGGCACGAAATTGAAAGAACGTTAAAGAGCGGAGTGATTTCGCCAGTGGACCACCCAATTGAATGGTGCACTCCCATGGTAGTAACTCCTAAACCAAAATGGTAAAGTCAAAGTGTGTGTAGACTAAGCTCAATGAGTATGTTCAGTTCGAGACTCACCCTCTTCCCTCCGTGGACCTCACCTTGAGAAAGCTAGCAGGTGCAAAGTACTTCACCAAGCTCAATACAATTTCTGGATTCTGGCAAATAAAGCTGGCCGAAAGCTTGAGACCACTCACAATCTTCATACACCCTGGGGACAGTACTGTTTTAACGTGCTGCCTTATGGAATTAGCTCTGGTTCTGAAATGTTTCAAAAGTGCATGAGTAGAATTCTTAAAGGACTTGAAGGAGTTGAATGCAACATTGATGATGTCCTACTTCATGCCCCCATCATAGAGTTATGTGACTACAGATTACAGAAAGTGTTAGAGCATCTAAGTGAGGCTGGTGTTGCACTTAACAATGGCAAGTGCACATTCCGAGTTCCCAAGATCAACTTCCTAGGCAATTTTAGCACAAATGGTATTGAGGTGGATCCAGACAAAATTTGCAGCTGTAGTAAACTTACATGCACTCAAGAATTTTCATGAGGTCGGTGTGTTCTTAGGAATGGTAACCCACCTAAGCAAGTTTGCAGAACATTTAGCAGACAAGACCAAACTAATCCGAGACCTTAAGCAGAAGGATAGCCAGTGGGTCTGGGGAACACCCCAACAACAAGCATTCGAAGAAATCAAGTCTATCTTGACAGCTGCACCAGTACTTGCTCTCTATGATCCTAACAAAGACATGGAAGCTTCAGCAGATGCATCTTCATTTGGACTGGGAGGAGTACTCCTACAGAAGCAAGAAGATCAGACTTGGAGACCAGTAATGTTCATATCTAGAGCACTCACCCTTATGGAATGCAGATATATGCAAATAGAGAAGGAGGCCTTAGCCCTAACCTGGGCATGTGAGTGATTCAGCGACTATGTAGTAGGAAAGTCTACAGTTGCTGAAACAGATCATAATCCACTGGTTCCTCTTCTCACCACCCGTACCTTGGATGGAGTCCCTCCTAGAGTTCCGCGGCTCAGAATGCAACTCACGCATTTTCATTTAGAAGAGGTGAACCATGTAGCTGGAAAAGAAATGTATATAGCAGATACATTGACAAGAATGCAGTCAGAAAACACAAACAGAATGGCCACCGTTCCTGAAGAAGAAATGAACATCTATGTTGACAGTGTTTTAGACTCCTTATCAGTCTCAGACGTGAAACTAATGGAGATTAAGGAAGCCAAGGATGCGGACCCCCCAAATTTCGTCTTAATGACGTACTGAAGCCTTATTGGTCAGCCAGAGGAGAGCTCATTGTAGTACATGGGATACTCATGAAGTCAAGAAGAACTGTATTGCTGTCAGCCATGAAGCTGCAATTTTTGATACACAAAGGGCACCAGGGAATAGGCAAGTGCAGAGAACGTGCAAAGACCTCTGTTTGGTAGCCTGGTCTCAGCCGTGAAGTTCAAGACATGGTTGAAAATTGCAAAGTTTGTGCCAAGCACCGACAGCAGCGAGCTGAGCCACTCATGCCAACACCCTTTCCTGAACATACCAGGCAGATGATTGGCACGGACCTATTTCAGCTCGATAACCTGAACTATCTGATAGTAGTGGACTATTTCTAGATCTCATGCTATATCAAGCTGGCTGCCACGCAAAAGACCACCAAATCGGATGAAGTTATCAGAGCCCTCAAAGCAATTTTTGCAAGACATGGAATCCACTGAAGAAGTAAGAAGTGACAATGGCCCACAGTATGAATCGGCTGAATTCACTCATTTCACAAAAGAATGGGGTTTAAAGCATACAACAAGTAGCCCCTGTTTCCCGCAGTCTAACGGTGAAGCAGAGCAAGCTGTAGAAACCACCGAGTCATTGCTGAAGAAAGAAAAAGATCCATCCAAAGGACTGTTGGCGTACAGGTCTACCCCTCTTGCTTGTGGATATTCACCATCTGAACTACTCATGGGAAGGAAACTGAGAAACGCCATCCCAACATTCCACACTGTTCTCAATCCAAGTTGGCCAGATATGGACAAGCTACGCGAAAGGGAACCAGGAAGCAAGGAAACTCAAAGGCTGAACTTCAATCAACGGCACAATGTCATTCCCTTGAAATCAGTTCAACCTGGTATCCTGTGCACATCAAAGATATGAGAACCACTGGTACAGTAGCTGGAGCAGCAAAAACACCTAGATGCTACTTAGTTGAGACAGAAAATGCCACAGTGAGACGAAACTGTTCTCATGTCAACCCAATAATCCCTACCAACAAGCCAGTGTCGCCCAGTGTCTTAGACAAGCCAGTTTCACCTATTGTTGAGAAAAAACAACCCTGAGACAAGACATTGACTCCCTTGAAGCCACTCCCATCACCTTGTCTTTCATCTAGACCAAAGAGACTCGTTAGACCCTTAATCAAGTTACAAGTCAGAGAGTCTTGGATTTTGTTGAAGATTGAACTTTAGTTAAAAGACACTTTGAAAATTGTGCTAGAACCTTGTTTTTATTTAGTTTAGCAGACACTTATCACACATGGTAGATTTTAGTTCCAGACTAAAGTTGTATGTTACTTTACAATCTCTCAAAAAGGGGAGATGTTGTGTTATTGAACTTTGACCTTTCAGGTGTCACACACGTGTGTTGTTCAGTATTAAGGCTTGCGCACTGCAAGAATATATTAGAGGATTAAACATGGCAGTCTTACGAACACACACTGTTATCTCAAGTTTCAATAACTTCACATGCATTACTTCACAGTTCTCACAGTAAAAAGTACATTTTGCCTGGGCAACCTTTCAAACACTGATGATCAAATTATGTGCTATTCGGTCTGAGAGAAAGATGTGCTTGAACTGGAAAGTCTCGAGCATAATAGGCCACTTTCAACAGATCTCACCTTAATAATAAATAAAATTTCCAAAATTGTTTTTATACAGCTATTGCAATGATTTTAAAGGACTTTTCAAGGACCACATTCAATTTTCAAGGACCACCTACCAGGAATGTCATTCCACAGACTGTACAAAAATACACATTCCCAGTCCATTGTTACAGAACTCTAAGGATTGAACAGTTTACTCCACCAACTTCTTTACATTTTTTTATTTCACTTGCTTTGAAGTGATAGTTAATTCTTGCATAAAACAAAAATGCTTTACTTAAAATCGCCATTAACTTCTCTGGGCTATACTCTGTCTGGGACAACCACAAAAACATTAATTAGCCACTACATTCAAAGTTGATGAAAATTCATTAAAAGGGCATTTCAACGACTCCCCCGAAAATTCAAGGACTTTTGAAGACTATGCGAACCCTGTTATACAATAATAAAGGTCGAGAACTGTCTTAAATTACTAAGCACTTCTCTTTTATGCCCTCAAAGAGCAATAATTCATCAAAATCAAACATTTTATCACTGTGTTGATCTTGGTGTGTTGGTTCAGAAAACCTTACTTGGAAATATCACATTGACGCTATTACGGCAAAAATCTGTAAAACAACTGGACTTATTTCAAAACTACCGCACTCCATACCTCATCATATACTATTATATATTTACCAAACATTAATCCACCCTCACCCAAACTATGGTTTTGCTGTCTGGCAACAGGCATCCAAGACTTCCCCTAAAAAAAATTCTAATTCTCCCAAAGAAAATGATTCACATGATGTATTTTATGGATATACATGAGAATGCAATAATTCCTCTATTTATTGACGCTGATATATTACCAGTGACATTTATGTATATAAGTCTGTGGCTAGTCTAATGCACGATATCAACAACAACAATTCGCCACCAAATCTATCAAATTTATCTGAAAAAACCTCAACCATTCATTCATACAATACACGTCCATGATCATCTACTTCTAGTAACTTTCATGTTAAAAGCTCAAAGCTGGAAATACACTAAAACTCCTTGTCTCATTTTGGTGTAAAACTTTGGAATGAGATACCTTGTCATAACAGAGAACTTACTGAAGAGGAATTTACGAAAGTACTTCACGGATTGCTTTTGGATATCTTGAAAAGAGAAAAATTAATAACTATATTGAGATGCCATTGGTAATTCAAAAGAGTTGGACTAACAGTTAAGTAATTTTTGCATAAAATTAAATGCTTTCCCCTCTCTGTCAATTCCTTCTTCGTTTTTCGTTAGATTTAATAGCAATTAATATATAACTATAACAGAAAAAAAATTATTGTAATCTAAAATATTTTCCTTCCTTTCCTTAATTTACTTTTTCTTTTAACTGGACTGACTAGATTAACAATTGCTATTTTGCAGGCCATTATTTAAATAAAGTTGAAGTTGAAGTTGAAGTTGATACGCTTTGTTGAGAAATCAGATTTCCTTGGGTAGATATATATATATTAACTTCAATAGCTGAGAACTTAAAGCGAGACATGTTAACAGGCCCTCAACTACTAAGTGTAATGCAACCTTGAGATTCTGTTACACTGTCTTATTTGGCAACAATGTTGCCAAGATACAAAAAAATATCTACCATTTTACAAGCTTGGAACTGTAGTTGCAAGTGTTACTGACATGACATTGCTTTTAACAAAGCCAAGGAAGAAACTTAACAAACATATAACAGAAAAATACTCTAGATGACTATGAGATTAAATGGCGTGAATGTTTTCAAGCACTCTTAGGGCACAAGAATAACTGTTCTGGTCCGGAAAAATATATTATACTGTCGTCGAAAGTTCAATTCCAGCATTAAAGTCATCATTTTGCAACAGCTCATAAGGCAACATGGAGTTTTCTACCCGTAGTGGTTTTCAGACAATGGAGGTCAAAAGTGTTGGGACCTTTCCAGCAATATTAGTAACACTAGTAACCCCTCCCCTCCCACCCTAAACAAAGTTGAATTTTGAACACCATGGGTGGAAATGAGTCTTTTTTTGGCCACAACATTCCTGTCGGGGGTGGGGGGGGGGTGGGTGGGGACATGAGGACGATGGGATGAACCCCCAAGCCAATCAAAATATTTTCATTAGGGGCAGAGTCCTACGTAACAATTATTACTTGGAAGGGTTTTTTCACACAGTCACAAGTTCTTGTAATTCTTAGTATGTAATTTTGAACTGAGGTATGCTTGTTTTCTTTACTATTTTTAATAATGTAATACACACATGGTGAGGTAAATAAATAACATTAAAGGTAAAGGTAAAGAGTCCTTATTTTACATCAGTAGCTCAAAATAGTCATCCTGGGAGTGACTAACAAACCTGAGGCCGATTTTTAACCCCCTCTCCCCCCCTCCCCCATTTTACCCCCTCTTACCATCAATGCTCATTTTTATGGGTATTTAAAGATACGTCAAGCTATATGAAAAGGAAAGAAGTTGAAAGAAGGATTTGAGGTCACAGCTAGATGAATAGGAATCAAACTTGGGACCTCCCGCACAGAAGGCTGCGCACTAAACAACAGCGCTACGCCTTCCTACTAACTGCGCTAATCCTTCGTCCTAAAAAATGAATAAAAATAAGACATACCAGGAGCTTCTGATGCCAGCTTAATCCCCCTGTTGTTCCAATAACGCTGCTGTTCTTGTCACTTTTCCAACACAGGAGCCAATTCCCACAACACTATACCAGGAGATTTAGATCATCCATAAGAGGAAGATTATTAACATTTTGGAACATGTGGTGCAGTTAATTCAATGTATCTGGAATAAGAATAAGAAGATAAATAAAAGTTATATTTGTGAAAAATCTCTCTAAGTGCAATTCTGTGGCTTTTTTTGCTATATTCATCTTGATGGCTCAGTCAATTCCAGGCTTGCCCATATCCCACCCCACCCCCTCACCTCTTCCCTGGGCATTTGTCCCAAATATTTGCCTCTATTTTTGCAGTAAAATCTTCAGCAGTTGAGAGTTGTGCCTAATTGCTTGTGATAATATGAATTAGAGTTTCTTCTTTTAAAAGAAGAAGAAATATAATATTCAGTATTAAAGAATTCCCCACCGGTGACCTCTCATGGCAAATGCGCACTGTGGGAACATACAACAACTCATACCAGGGGCGAGGCACGCTTGGAATTGACTGTGCAATAAAATTCCTGAAAGGTGGATAATTCTAGCTTTATCCTGTGGCTAATGCATTTGGTTTTTTACGGTGCTGAAATTCAGCATGGGATTTTTTTTTGGGGGGGGGAGGGGTGGTTAATGTGTATTCAAGGGATAAAAAATAGTCCCCTGAGAGGACACGAGCTTCCTGGCGATGAATGGTCTGTACTCCAGTAACCATAAAAAAAAGAAAA